GTATTATAATAAGAAGTATTAAATTGTACAATTGAATATAACGAAGAAATTTCAGACAAGAAATTGATAAAGTTGTCTTATTTCAGTTAAAAAAAATTAGTTAGTCTATAATGAATAAACAAATTCTTACCGCCGAAATACGGAACTATTACTTACTATTACTTCTTATGGTTCGGTCAATAAATAATGCGGTCAATGAATAAATGCACGTTGTTAATAGAAATATACTATAGATACCTACTTTTCATTAATAGAGTCATAAGTCATAGTTGTATCTACATCAAAAAGATTAATATTACATATCAATTCAGTATTGCTGTAGTAGTATAAACTTTGTTAAGGAACGAACAGTCGTGAGCAGCCCCGTATTGCCGTGGTTGCTCTTATAGGGTGGTTTCAAAAGCATTTAAGGGTGTCTAAATTTTTGTTATTTAATTCTTAGGTTAAGGTACAATAGATAACAAAATAAAAAAACTTAAACTGTGCTAGCTTTTTCGTACTAAATATATATATATTAATAAATATAATTTTAATATACATATATATAGTGTAAATAATGTGTGTGTGTGTGTAGTATGTAAATCTTTGTTTAATACAATTAACATTTAATTTTTACATAATATTAAAATAATAAATGTAGAAAAAAAGGTTATTATAATTTAGAGTGAATTTAATCGATTTATTTCTTGGTTTGAAGAACACATTTTATAAACTATTTGATTTCTATCGACTAGGTTTAAAAAATCTCGTTCACATCTCAATCTTGTTTTTAAAAGTTTTGGCATCGAGAATGATCGTTCATATGTCACTCGTGTGAGTGGCAGGTTAAGTAGATATTTATAAACAATATACAATTCTTTTTACTGTATATAACATTTATTAAACTCTGTTAATATATGTTAGGTACATTTTAAACCTTATTTAAAACCCCATTTACATCGTCTTTATTAGATTTTTTAGGTTTATCGAGATTTACCATTATTTATTTGTCTTCAATATTAACGTCAACTAAATTATTATATGTATTATGCAAATCTGTTTTACATATCAGATTTTTTTTAGTGTATTTAAAATAAAACGCAATTCTATGTAATAAAAAACGCGTTTCTATGCTTTTCAAAAGTTCATATAACGTATAATTAAATATTATTACACGAAATTTGCCAATATCAAATGTCAATACATGTTTTATTAGGAAGTAAAAAATACGATTATACTAGTATCTACGGAAAAAATAACAAAAAATCATATTAATTAATACATTCTAGCGTAACGATATCAATTACCAATACCTATATAGACATTCCGAGCGAATGAATAAATTTTGATTTGTATGTTCGATTATAAATGGTTATATAGGTTATATAGGTTATATAGGTTATATAGGTATGTTATAATATTGAATATTTAAAATATTTTACTAGAAGTTTGAAAATCAGTTTTCTTTTTATACTGGTGCGCCATTGCGTAATAGCGCGGTATTTTTAGAACACTAAACATTAGAAACGCACTATTGACAAAAACCAGTGTAAAGTGTAACGTATAAATAATTGTTTTCACAAAACAATAAAAAAACTTTCAATCACGTAGTCCTGAAGACCATCGGGTTAGTACTTGTTAATGAGAGGAATAATGGAAGTCAATAGGTAACAAAAAAGTACAAAAATCATAAAGTTAACATAATTCTTATCCGATTGTCCGATGGGTCAGTTCGGGCCCGGTCGTGAAGTGCTCATGACGGTCCTCGGACCAGTGTCTAGGGCTTTTCGGGCTTGCTCGAAACTCCAAGTTAATGCGGTTAACTTTTGCACTCTTGATTAAACTGGGAAACGCATACCCGTGTTCGTTTTCTATACATTCAAATGTTCCGTGCCAGGTTGCCACGTCTACTCGTGTTTTGATCACGGTCAAACCGTTTATAAGTACACTTACACGATAAGGGCTATCGTAGGTATTGTTTTTGGAGCCGATGAACAGCGTTCCGTAATCGTATTTCGCCGAACTGGGTTATTCGATTCGTTTCACTGTGAACAATTATATCGATTATGACGAGGGCTCAAGGTCTGTTTAACAATACAGTTCAATTTTCAAGTCATTCTTCCGATAGCGTATAACTTGCTGAATAACATTTAATGTATCTTGATGGTGCACATTCAATTGTTTTATGTTTTTCGGTTAGAAGTTGATATGGAAAAAAATATTAACTCACCTCAGTTTCAAAAAGTAATTTACTTTTTTAATTAGTATGCAAAACACATTAAAGAATCATCGTATTCTTTATAATTTATTAGATTATTATAAAGAATTTTATTAAACTTATATCATTAAATACGGTGTACAGTGCAGCGTAATGATGGTACCTATTTTAATTTATATAATATTTTTAATCAATAAACATCATACATAATGATATGGACATGGCTGACGATTACATGAACAACGAACAGACTTAATTACTTTACAAACATCTAGAGTTGGACGAGTACTTGGCTTTGTACAAATACTCGACTCTATTCGATACAAAAAAATGTATTCACTCGTAAATACGAGTGGTCGATTTTATTTAACTTTAATCGAGTATTTGACTTGAATTAATTACTCGAGTTTATTTCACAACTTAATTGAAAAATAAATATTAAAATTATAAATGACTGTGGTCGAAATATTTCCAATAGAAAATATCAGGAAGATTGATGGTATTAATCAATAACAAAAATTGTCATTGTTTTGATATTTTATTATCACAATAACGACATTTTATACAGATAGGCAACCACATTTATCGAGTACACATACTTGACATTTTTCAACTACTCGAATTTTTTCTTAAGTAGTCGGCCTAATTCAAATATCCAAATTTTGAACTTGACATCGAAAAACAAAACTCATTCAACTCTACAAATATCGCTTACGACCTATACAAGTTCATTGCAAATCTATATTAGTGGTGGGAAATTTTTTTAAAGCTACGTCCTAAAAATTACCTGATATTTTTTTCATCTTTCTACATGCCATTAGATAATTGATTTCAATACATTTATTTAGAAGACAAAATGGAAATTTCATTTAAGAGAATCACATTATAATTCATTGACATTCGGTTTATAACTTTACTAAAGTATATTCAAGAATATCGACTGTATTCTTCCATTGGTCAATTGCTTAAATCTTATTTGATAAAATTCGTATTATTTTATTTTCAAAGTGGTTCATTATGGCTTAATTTATTCACTATTAAAATATTAAAAACTTAAAAAATGTTTCCATCCTCGACAGGTCCGTATTTAAAAATTTGGCGCCCCCGGGCATAAAATTTATGCTCCCTCAAAAAAAAAAAATAATATAACATTTATTATTTCGTCCATAATCGAGATTCTTTAATATTAAAATATAACTTATAAATGAAAATCGTTTAATACTTTTTTTAATTAATAAATTAAGCAAATTATAATATAATGAAACATACAATTTCCTTTTTTTTTTTAAATAACAAATTATAATAAAATAAAAATAAAATTTTAATTTTTAATTTACAAATAATAACATAATAAAACATGCTATTTTATTTTTTTTCATTAAGTACATCATTTTTAAAATTAATTTTACTAAAATATTTTGCCACCCCTGAGACTTGACGCCCCCGGGTATGTGCCTACCCGTGTTCCCCCCTAAATATGGGCTTGATCCGCGATCTAAAGCAAAAATAACATAAATATACCTAAAGAATTAGTGGCGCCGATTTCTATATTGAAGTCAGGCCTTGGCCTGACATCTTTTCAAATTATAGGATAGGGTCGCTCATATTAGGTTGATACTTGGATGCCTTTTTTATGAAAGCTTCATTATAAAATTAAAGCCTACTCTTACTAAAAAACATCTCTAACTACAATTTTTGTTCTGTGTTGCGTACAGCATACTTAGATAACAATAGAACTATAAACACCCTGTATATTAATTAATAATAGTTTCACAACACGTACAAGGAAACAAATAAATGATTAGTAAAATAACCATGTCCACACTACTGGTTAGCTACTGATTACTATTGTGTTAACTAAATTATTGACATAGATTTGATTGGTATCAATTATTACATACTATTCAAGAGTTTTATCAAGTATTTAGATCTAAATTTACTAACAAAATTATCAGTTAAATTACAAGAAGACTATGAAGAATATAAAAGCGGTTCAAGTGAAAGTAATATAGAAGATGAAGATAAATGGCAAGATTCAAATAATTTTGGAAGCTTAAGAAATATTTTTGGAATAATTAATACTATGAATATTAAATCAGAATTTGAGCATTTGTATACAATAATTAATACATGTTTAACATAAATAATGATAAATGTACTGTAGACCAAATTTAATAAAAATATATTACATTTGTCCTTATGTTAAAATATTTAACTTTAGGTTACACAACAGACATAGAAGTAATTAATAATTTTAAAATAACATTTTTTTAAAAAATAAAACATCAATTGCAGTATTTTTAAATCTGAATGTAAAATAAGGAATGTGTATATGTTTTACAGTGGTCTTTTGTTTGAGAGAAATTATAATTAAAATATTATTTTGAAAGCGTTTTTTGGACAGTTGTAAAATATAAAAACAAGTTCTTGTATTTGATAAAATAAAATAAAAAGGTTAAAGGATGATTTACAATGTTTATATATAACTTTGGTAACAATCTTTAAATCAGCACGACCAAAATAAAAACATCATTGTATAGCTAATAAAAAATAATTTAAGTAATGATAACCAACTATATTACAACTAACATCAGTATATTAAGCAAAAAGCGATAGAAAACAAGTGTTTAGTATAAACGTCATATTTTCTTTGCTGTTCTTATAACTATTTGTTAAATATTAATTAATGTATAATAATAACAATTCAAAAACAATGGTTTTAATTTATAGTAAAAATTACATCAAAAATTAAATAACATTAGTGAGAAAATATATTTAAAAAAATATATATATATTGAAAGTAATAAATATTTAGATTCTCTAAGATTGGCTTAAATTAAAGAGATTCTAATTGTTATAAATATATTTTATCAACAAAATAATTACAAATATTCATTCAATCATTAACACTAAGTGAATTTCTATATTTCTTTTCAGAAGAAAAAACATTTAAACAGGACCAATATTTTTTCTGTACCTTGATGACTCTTTTCAATGTTCTTTGAGCATTTTTGCAAATGGGAAGTTCTAAGTTTAAAGGTGGTAATGGATCTCCAAGTAAAGCTTTAGTGCACATTGTCATACAGTATGAGACTGCATCTATGTTGTAACCTCCTTCTAAGGCAAGTATGACTTTTCCATATGCCAATGATGATAGTAAATGAGTGAGGTGTCCAAAGCATTCAGGTGTTACTTTACAACCTAAAAAAAAAAAAAAAATATAATTTTTAAATTTATAAAAGTATATTTTCAATTTTTAATGTTTGAAAAGTAATTGGAATAAGATAAATACATAGTATACATAATTCATACATTTAAACTTATCCAAGCCCAGAAAAATTAAAAACTGATCGGAGTACTAACAATTGAGTGTTTAAAAGTAAATTAATTATAAATAATTTGACATGAAAAGAGGAAAATATATTTTAATTTTAAGATTCCTTATCGGATATATTAATGTTCAAAGTTAATAGATTTAAAAACCAAAGTAATCTAAATACCAATTAATCCTCTAATGTATTCGTTTGTAAATATAAATATAAAACGCAAATGCAATATACTATTTTAAAATTAGATACAAAAGGTAACTAATTTGAATACTTTTTTTTTGTTTTTTTAATCCGGAGATTGGTTTTTAAAAAAATTTCTTCACAATAAATAATTTCATCATAATTCAAATTATGACAAACAAAAAAGATTATTGTGTAAAATTTAAATCTAATTGTAGATTAAGTATATTTACATCACATTAATCAGTAATACACATAGAATTATTATTCTTTTAACAATAGAATATAGTTAATATTATTATTTATTATTATTTTATTGTATTTATTTATTAACTTAATAATATTATAGATAAATAAGCAATTATAAATATTAATACTTTGTATTGGTTGGTTCATAAATTTGCTAAGACTTTTAAGAATTTTGTATAATAATTTATATATACTACAATAACGGATGTAAGTTATATTAGATCTAGAAAAATAATTTGTACCACAATAATCAACATTTAACTTTAAAATAAAATCATAATATAACACACTAGAATTATATACGCTAAAACAATTAAATTATAAACTATTGGTATTTAGTGTATATTAAAGCACTTGAAAAAAAATTAAACACTTATTGAGTAAATAATGACAAATATAGTGTAAACATAAAAAAATAAAATTATTCACCTCCAAGTGGGTCTCCTACAGCAGCATCAAATCCAGCTGATACTAAAACAAGTTCAGGACAATATTCATAAGCTACAGGTAAAATTATATTTTGCATAACTGACATATACTCAGCATCTCCCATGCCATTCTAAAAACATTAAAAACATTTCATAATATATGCATTTTAAGAACAGTAAAACTAGATAATATTTACTTTGTTCCATGGTATATTAATGTTATAACCTTCTCCACTTCCTATGCCAGTAACTTTATGGGACCCATCTTTGGTACTCGGGAAAAATTTTCCATTATGATAACGATGAATTGATATATACAGGACTCTTGGGTCTGAACAGAATGTTTTCATTGTGCCATTACCAAAATGTATGTCCCAGTCCAAGATCAATATTCTAATTTAACATTTATACAGATTTATTACATGCACTATTTTATATCATTTAAGCAGTCCAATCATCAACATACCTTTTAAGACCAAACTTATTTAAAGCATAGTTTGCTCCAATAGCCACAGAATTAAAAATACAAAAACCGCAAGCTAAATCATCTTCAGCATGATGTCCAGGAGGCCGTATCACTGCCACACCTGATGCACTATCATTATTCATAACAGAATCAATTACCTATCAATCAAATATAAAGTATTATTATATCTTAGTTTAGTTCATAATTATATTGTTTGTGATGAAATTAATTTGTGTAAATACTTGCAACAAACACCCAGAAGCAAGTGTTGAAACTTTATATGTATCTGGAGTCAAGTATACAGAGTCAAAAGTTTTTTCTAATGAACTTAATTCTTGTAGCGATAATTTGTATAAATTGGCCATATTATTAAAATGTTCTTTAGTGTGCACAGTGAGTATTTCACTCTCTTCAGCTTCTCTAGACTAAACATTTAAAATAAAACTTCTGAAATCAAGATATTTAGTAACTATATATAACAAAAATATCATACTGGTAAAACTAAAAGCCGAGGTGTCAATTGAAACTCATTGAACATATTTAAAATTGCACTTATTCTACCTGGGCATTCTGGATGTCCACTATAACAATAAAAACACACAATCAAATACTAATAACTCACATTTGTTAAATATCAAAATGTATTTATAAGTTATATACATTATACATATACGTTATATGCATTTATAAATACAATAAAATATATCACTATATTTTCACAAAATATTTATTCTAAACATGAAATTTATATAACACATTTATATAAATTCAATAGTTTATAAAACAATTGTTAGTTACATTTACACACTTAAATATAAAAAATGAAATACAATCTATTTAGAATTAATTGAATGTATAAGAACTGCATAAAATAAAATCACACATGACATACATTTTTAAAACACACAATTCTAACTAACTTGTGTTTATATTTTCAATTTAAATCGATAAAGGAAATATTAACTAACAACTTTTATTTTATAGTATTGAAATACATTAAAGAAATATAGAAAATCACTAAATTTAAAGAAACATCTATTAAAAAATAATTTACATCACCTCATTCATTCATACTATTGCAACCAGTTATATAGTAATTAAAACCAAATTTTGCATAAAATAAATAACTTTTAATCAAAAATTTAATTGTAATGAAAAAAATAAAATAAATATGGAGCCATCAAAATTTGGTCATTAATTATATGTATAAATAACTGATTTTACCTTTCGCTGCTCACGTGTTTTCGGTCCATGATCAAATCAAATGAAACACAAACTTTGTTCTTTATATTTAACAATTCAGTTTCTGAAAAATAAACTAAACATCTAAACACAAATTAAAACATTAATGCAATCTAAATATCTTTACCAGAAATTAAATGCTGAAGAACTGAAAATTCATCAATTTTTGTAGTATCTTGAAGTGGATAACAATCAGAAGTTGGAAACTCACTTTGTGGTTCACCATCATATGAATACATTGATACAGCCTTATACGTTGGACTTAATATGTAGTCCGTTTGAAAACATTTCCAATATTTTTGATGTGCAAAAATTACATTCTGTATTGTTTGCACAATACTAAAATTTAAAAGAAAATAAATATAATTTTTTTTTCTTCTAAATTTAAATAAAATATTTAAATTATACCTAATACACGGATTGCTAGTCATGTCAAGCAAAGGACATGGATCTTTAAGTAACGATTTAAGTGTTAAAGCAGCACCTTCAGCTAAAGATTTAATACAATAGCCCCCCTTAAAATTTTTGTTAGTACACAATTTTCAAACAGCTCGGAGCAAAAATACAATTTACCTCAAGAAAAACAGCAACTCTACCACATGCAAGACCCATAAGAGAATTAACTAAATGAGCATAGCATGCAGGTGTTACTTCCATTTCTCCCTAAATATAAACAAATATACACTTCAATAAATAAAACATATGTAACATATTCGAGCATATAGCATATAGAGTTTACCTCTGGACATCCTAATGCAGCATCATAACCAGAGGATATTAAAATAAGATCAGGTTGAAACTAAAATAAACAGTAAATCAGATTTGATAGTATTCAAATAATTAATAATGCACTTACTTCTGAGGCAACTGGTAATAAGAGTTGATGAAAAATAGCAAGGTAATCAGTGTCTCTCATACCAGTAGCATTTAGAGGTACATTTATATTGAAACCTTGACCATCACCATTACCAGTATAATCCCAATCACTTTCTCGTAAATTGGGCCAAAATTCTCCATTTTCATATCGATGAATAGAGAAATATAGTACTCTGCAAAAATTATTAGTTATAAAAGTAAAAAATATATTTTTTAAATCTAACCTTGAATCATCATAAAACATTTGTTGTGTAGCTTGTCCATGATGAACGTCCCAGTCAACAATTAAAATTTTGGAAACCGAGTAATGGCGAAGAACATATTCTGCAGCAATTGCTACATTGTTGAAAAAACAATAGCCACAAAATTCGGATTTCATAGCATGATGTCCAGGAGGTCTAAACAAAAAGTATTCAATACTTTGATAACTTATTAACTATGAAATAATCTAATAAAAGTAATTAAATTACATAATTTCCTACCTGATAAAAGCCATTCCATTATGTATTTTGTTTTCACATATTGCTTTAACAAGTTCTATCGAACTTCCTGTTGCTAATAAAGACTGTTTGTATGTACTCTGAAATATTGAATTATGTGTTAAAATTTATAATTTATAAAGAATTGTACATGTAAACATTATTTTCATGTAAAATTATACTTTTTGAATAGTTACTCTAATCTAAACCTTACTTACGGGATGAAAGTAAATTGCATCAAACTTAGAAGATAATGCTTCTAAAAGTTCAAAATCTTTCAAATCCTCAGTAGATTTTAACATGTCAATGATTTCTTGTGTATGTTTCATTAACAATTCATCGTTAGTAGCAAGGCGACATGGAATTTTAGTACATCTTTCAATCAATCCTAACTCATTACACCTGTTCATATTTAAACATATAAGTTTAAATGTTACTGCATTTTAAAATATTATAATTACCTTTTTATGATTGATTCATATCGTTGTGGATTTTCAATATAGTTAGGATCCCAATAACATAAATGTTTACTAAACTGATCATCATATATAATACCAGTTTTTTTAATTATTTTTTCAATAAAACTTCTAGCCTATAAATATAAAAAAAATGTATATAATAGATATTTATAATAAAAACAATTCTACTTAATATATTAAGTAACAAGAAATACATATTATAAATTTAAGGTGACAAGATTTTTTTTTTTATATATTGTCTTATGTAAAATACAATATACATCAGTGTTTCTTAATCTATGGGTCGGAAAATACTTTTGATGGATTGATGTTTACAAACTAATTACAAGAAAAATATCTTAGTTATCAAATGTAATTATATTTATATTATTTATATCAGAATTCAATTTTGCAGTATTGCATTAAAGTATAGAATTATTTATATATAATAAAATTATTAGTTATTAAAATATTAAAGCTTACTAGGTTTTTTTCTGGGATGTCGTTTACACAACATAAAGAACATTTTGGGGCAACCTTGGCATAAAAGTTGGGAAACACTAATATACATATTATGATAGTTATATAATTACTTAGTACATCATATGATGTTTATTTTAATATAAAAATTGAACACCCATTTTAAAATAATCTAGAAATAAAATATAAAAAAATAAAAAAAAAATATTAATAAAAAAAATTATGAACTCAGATTATTCGAATAATTAAAGTAAAAACATATAACTCAAAAAACAATTAATTTATTTGATAGGCATTATAAAAAAACTGATAAATAAATGCTTAGCAAGGAGTATTATATTTATAAAGTACTTATTTTTTATAATAATATTTCAGGGTAAGCATTTATTTATTTATTTCTATACCTATATAAATTATTTGTTTATTTTTATTAATTTTATTTATATTTACATTTATATTTATATAATATTTATTTATGAAAATTAACCATTTACATATAATGTGAGCCAATAATATACAATTAATAACATTTTTAAAATGTATACTGAATGTCAATGATAAAATTGATTGATCTTTATTAAAAATTTGGTTTCAATAATTTCAAATAACTCCAATATTGGTAAAAAAAAAAATATGAAATTGAATAAAAATTATAATTCAAAAGGTTTAAAAGTCTAGGTTTTAATATTAAAATATTCTTTACTATTCAAAACTAAGTATTATAATATACTTTACTCTTATTTTTATTTTCTTAGGAAAAATAATAAAATAAATTACAGTATATCTATTTTGTATATGATATATCAGCTTATTTAAGATAGAGAAGGGTTAATTATTTACTATAATTTAAACAATGATAAATTAATAAAAGATATATTTTATATATATATATATATATATATTTATATAAATAATTTAAAGATACATTTTTTTTGTGCCTACCTATTAAGTAGTTTATTTTTAAAGATAAATAATGAATCATGATATGTTATAATAAATTATATTTATTTTAGATACACAACCATAATATTTAGAATAATTAGATAATTTAATAAACAAGAGATTTATAGAACTCATAGTAATAGAAATTCAATATTCATTTTTTATTTTTAAAATTATAGAATAATATAAAAAGTAATTTTTTTAAAAATTGTTAATACCATAGTATTAAATTTGATAACCTAGTTTAAAGTCATGTATATTTAAAAACATGAACATTTAGTAGAAGGTAATAACCTTGGTAATAATAATTGAACACATATATAAAATATGTAAATAATAATCTTAATATAAAAATCAACTTGATTAGTATTTATATTGAAGTAATTAAACAGTTAATTGGATACTTGTTTATCTAAAATGTGAATTTAAATGAAAATTAAGTAAGAAATGACTTAATACTATGAATAGAACTTACATTTTTGAAATTATCTTGAACATGATCATACATCTTACGATTGTTCATATTTGTTTCCAAAAATTCTTTTTTCCTTGCAGCAATAAGATCACTAGTTGTGAGTTTAGTTTTAGTTGGATTTTCCTGGAATAGAAAAATAAATCATTACATGAGAATTGATTTGGCAAATAAAAATATCACAATAATTTATAAATGTCAAATGTTTTAGACATTGACTTTATAAAAATTTTGCAATTCATAAACGGTAAATTGTAGACAATATTCTCCAGATGCATTGGTAGTCCTAGTCCAAACTAATGATAACCGACATACTAGAGGGAAAGCACATATTTGCTACATTGCTGATTATAGTATCCAAAAATCTCAGACAGTATTAATAACAATATGGTACAACATAAACAATTTGCGATTTGATTATGTGTTAATAAAATGTTAGTTATTGGCAGTTATTAGCGTAACCAAACTGTAAGTGGTTGTTTATTCACCACTATAATACTTCAGTAGCTGCTACATGATTCTAGCTCTAAAAAAAAAATGAGGGTAGAGCTATTACTTAGATCGGAAAAAGTCAAATGAAACGCAGTTAGACAAAACAGGTAGTTGGCAATATTATATTACTATACGACTCGACTAAGCTAAGGACAAGATTTGAACAAGGCACACAAAGGATATCAGTCAGGCGCACACCCGTGAGATTTGGTGTTGGTGATGAAAAACTCTTACCATTAGTCTAGATGGCCAAAGGTCGTGACACCATTCAATACCATTTGATCGTTGCGGGAAAGCGGTCCGGCGATGCCGATGTCCCGTCAGGAACACGTGAAAAGAGTGACGCAAAGCAAAATACAACAAAAAAACCAAATAAAAACCAAAAAAATAATATACAAACGAACACGGACGGAAATCCTTTTACGGTCGAACGATCGTTCGCGCTGTTCAAACGCAGTGCACTATCACGCACCAAAAAGCGGTAGGCGGAATATGATTCAACAACAATAATAATAATAATACTAGTAATGTTTGGACGATCGGTATTGCGGTCGGTTATCGTTAACACTCGATCGCGACATGAGGAAAATGAACAGATAACACAGGCCGGGGCCAGCGGTGGGTCGTCGGAGTACTGGGGTTTTTTTATTTTAATATATTTTTTTTTTCTCTTCCGGTGACCGTTCGGAGACCGGTCCGGCCGATTTGGAGGGAAACGTTCGTCGCCACAGCACGCGTCAACGTCACATCCCGCTGGAGGCGTTTGCCGAACGCGTTTTTTTTTTTTTTTTTAAAAACCGTCCCGCCATGGATTACGCGCGGTTTTGAAACGAACGGAAAACGTAGCGCGGGGCGCGTCCGCCCGATCCGGTCGGCGTTTTCGCAAAAACATCGTCGGCCGTGCAACAACAGGCACACTAGGTCACCCCTCGCGAGTGTACGGGGTGTGCATGGTCGTCGCGCGTAAATAACAACGATAATTGTAACGATAAAACAATACGAAGCGTACGGATGTATACCTGTGGTGTTATGTCGCCCGTGAACAACGACGCCTTAGCTCGTACAGTCGGTGTTGGCAAACGAACGGAAATCTTAGGATCGCCAACGGTGGCGTCGTCGATCGCAGTGATTGATTAATTAAACCGTTGTGCGGTGTGACGCACTTCGCGCATCACGGAATCGACAAGTGTCAAGTGGGGCCCAATTACCACGATATGATATAGTGTTCGTTATTCAACAATCGAGGAAGAGTGAGAGAGAGAGAGAGATAAGGAAGACGACTGCGAGATTATTGTGGAATATATAGGTAATAAATATTTATTTTTAGCAGTGTTGATATTTTTTTCGAGAAATGTTCACCAACACACTGCATTGCATCGTGCATCACTAAAATCCTTGTTCCGACAGAAGAAAACCTCTCTAAACGATTTTATAACAAATATAATGATACGAATAACGAATTAATAGTTACATTCGGACGTGTACGAGGAGGTTTAACCTCCCTTCCCCTCCCAAGAAATTCAGAAAAATTATCAAATATGTTTTAATGGATTATATAAGTATGCGAATGTTTGAACGAAATTCCACTAAACATAGTTTTCTGAGTACGCGTCTGGTAACAATACTAATTAATGAAAATATACCGCACGATAAAATTTATAGTATTGATAAAATAATCTTACAAAACTGGTTCACTATTAAACGACTGTCATGCTTTCTTTATTGACGACCTGAAAACCCCCTAAATTGTCGACAATTTTTAGCGCAGAGTTGTTCGTATAATCTTAAACCAGTCATTACAGATAGCAGATATCTGTCATAATATTTTGTGGCGTTTATTTTGGGAAATATTAGATATTTTTTTCAGGCGCTACACTTACATATTGCTGGTCGTGTCATGTTGATTTGTGATATATTATATAAAATATGATGTTTTTTTTTTCTTTGTGTATAATTCGATTATTTTTACAATCAATAGATTCTGGTCTATAAGAATGTAGCATGTTTTAGTATAAGTACACGCACTTATCAAGTCTAGGTACTGCAACGAATTTGTCTCCGGCTCTATGCCCCGAGACGAAATCTGATTACTTAGCTTTTTGTTTTACTAGTAGGTTTTTTTTTCAAAATCATCCATACAATTATGAAAAATTAAGTGGACAAGTGATAGGTCACGCAGTACAAAACAAAACTTATAAAACATTATATTAACTAACTCTATAGGTAGGTATATATATAAAATAAAACGTAAAAACCTACGTACCGGATGTTTAAAATCTAATATTAATTTTAAACAGTTCTTGTCGAATAATCAACATAGATGAAGGTACTGATAAATAATTTATAAATGATTCTATTAAAAATATTGTTTTATTATAGAAAAACCGTAACGAGATTATATTAAATATTCCATATTAAGCTAATAAATTGGATTTCGACCTCGCGTAGAAAAACAATGTTCTGATAAAAATAGAGTATTACTAATCTGCATACTATAATTATTTTTATCTTAATTATTTTTAAATACACAACTTATTAATTTATACAGTAAACTATATGATAACTGGAACGCTTACTACGCAGAACTGATAGATATAAAACGTGGTAGAAATAGATAGAAAATGTTAAACATAAGTAATTAGGTGCCATAGTATTATATTTAATTAATATTTAGTGAAAATAAAAAAAAACAATCGCCTAAAAGAAAGAAACCATAAAGAGAAACGATAAGTAAATTAAATTATTTTTCTGCATCAATATTTATTTTATATTAATTGTCACAGTACAATTGCCACGTATAATTAGAAAAATATTGGTAAAAAAAATTCCTCTACAAATTCGAAATTATATTTACAAAAGCATCGCAATTTACGGGTTAGACATCACTGTCGATGTAGCTTTCAAACTACTTAATAAACAATAGTTTCGTAGACTGCAAAATCAATATTTTTATTCGACACTTGGCATGAAAGAACAATAAAATATATTAATAAATTATCTGTTTGAAATAAAATACCTAAACATAAATTATATACAACTTATTGTTACGTTTTATTATATAGTATACTCATGCGTGACAAAATTAACAATTTGATTCCTGTCAATTTTTAAAGTAAAAACATTCATGTAAAAATTAATAAAAAAAAAAAAAAATAGAGTAAGTGTTGTTTATACTGTTTCCAGGCCTAAGAATGAACATGGTAGTAGTGAACAATGGTTTTCTTGATTTTGCTATCATAATATTATTTTTTATAAATTATGTGTAGAATATTGATTATGTAGAATAATTTATATTAAATACGTTTATTTAACGATTCTTAAAGTGTTTAAGATGTAATATATGTAATACATACACACGATATATACATTACAATACGAGAAGGTGGGATAGCGCCAAAAAAGGAAAAGGCCAAATTGATTCCAGTCCAAGTGATATTACCTTAACGGAAAAAATTATAATACCTACGTATAAAAATTAAATATGATGTATCCATTTCACTTTTTCTTCTATAATAATAACGTCTTAAATTGTTAGTGATTATGTGATAAATTTATAAACGGAGCCAACTTTCGTATTCAAGAAGGTGAATATATTTTAGGGGGTCCAGTTAATTTTGGTACATTCAATTATATATAGAATACTTCATTTAATTGTATAAGTAATAACATAAAATATTATATATAATAACTTATTTAAATAAAAATCTTTAAGTTATTCAATTGTATTTATGCCTATAGGCATTGTTATACCAATATTTACATGTGATTTTTCCCAATATAAACGTTGGCGTCGTCGCTAACAACGTATATATTAATGGTGTTTATGTGAAGTATACCTAACTAATTTATTAAAAATACAATTATTAGTAAAAATATTATTGTATTACATTTATGAACGTACAGATATTTTTTCATGAAAATAATATTATATTTAATTTTGCTTTGCGATTGCAGGCAAAGTCTTACGAAAATTACTTTTGAAAAGGTAAGTTGCCATCACATAACCTGCAACGCTTGCTCTCCCTCTCCCACATATGATCTGATGATAATATCATGAGGCGTTCTGCCTCTCGTGCCCTTCGTCTTGCTCTTTCCTGATCAGGTTGTCAAAAGTTGTACAGACCTAGACCCAAACAACACAGATACGTCACTTCTCATAGGTGCACAGTTTAGACTTCGGATTGGACAATTAACCTGTCGTTTTTTTAAAATAAAATAAAATACTTCACTTTTATTCATCTATTATAAGTGATGTCACCTGAATTTATTCGTTTAATTTGATAATATTTACATTTACATACACCTAACTGGCATCAGTGTTGAATAAGTTAAATGGAAATTTGTTGGGTTCAAAATCAAGTTAAGTCATTCATAAAAATTTTTAAATTGTAATTTTTTGAGTGAAATAATAATTGTGTATACAAGGGTTTCAAATTTTAATACTTATTATTTTTAAATAGTTATTATTCTATAAATAGGTATCCAATATGTAAACATTTAACGTGTTATATAATAGATGTGTTAAATATTCAGTCGAATTCGAGTTTACATTAATGTAAATTAAACATAACCAAATAAAACTAACTTTTTAACGAAAATATATTAAAATAAATTCTTCGTTTCCCACAGTATCTCAAATTACGAATATTTGTGTTCTACAATTGTTGGTTTTGATTATTTTTTTACTAGGTACTGTAAAGGTGGGTTTATACGTTCAGTTGAATTGCGCAAACTAATTTGAGGTATTTTGTACAGTCTGTGCAAGCAAACTGAGTAAATTATTAAGGTTTAGACGTTCAATTATTGACACAAATTGTTGTCAGTTTTAATTTGATACTGCAGCAAAAATTTCGTCCTTTACCGAATAGGATCTCTGCCTTCTCGCAGTGTGTGTGATTAAAAAAAAAAAACAATTAATACTTCAAAAATTAAATAAAAATAAGAGGTCGAAAAATTGGTTGTTAAAGAGACAAACATTTTTGCACATAAATTTAATTGTGACCTACGATTTTTAATTTATTTAATGACCATAAGAACCTACAACTTATGAGAATTCTTGTATTAAATTTTACGAGCACTATTACTGCTCCAAATTTTGTACGTACGTATCCCTATATGTCCCAACATGTTTGCATACTGCAGTAGGAATACGCTATATTGCATCATATGTATAATTTTTATTTTCAATACAGTTCCAAAACAGTTAAAATAATAGCTATGGAAGAGCTATGTAAGTTTATATAAGTTTGATAAAAACACGCTTAAAAAAAAAAAAAATTAAATTTTCCCTAATATTTCGTTATTAAAGCCACTGCTTAGCATTGGCCGTATAGTGTAATACCACACAGTATTAATGTGTAATAATATGGTTTTGTTTGAAATGCGTTATTTTATAAACGTGTTTGAAACATAATTATTTTATACAAATATTAAATTCATTTTTTACTGATCATTATGTAATATAGTTGATTTTGTTTTTTTTCTCCTGTATTTTTTCTTCTGCATTGTCACACCCTGTTACCAGTTAAATACAGAAACATCTCGTGATTAATGATTCGTGTATCTGCCCACACATTTGTACTGGGCGCACAACAAAATGATAAATGCTAGGAGTTAAGTAACGGATGTTAATGCACTTTAAACGACTGTAATATACACTGTAAAAAATGTTCTATGTAAATTTACAAAAAATGTGTGGCAACACACATTAATAACACCATGTAATAAAATTTACAACGCATTACTTGTAAATTTACAATCTTAGCGAAACTGAAATTTATTAACCTATTTGATGTGTAAAATAGATATTTATGACAAATTTACTTATTTTTATATGCAAAATCAATTAGTAAAATATTCTGAATAAATTTGCATTGCGTCGTTATTTGAAATTTAACAACATTTTTGACAGTGTACAGTATGTCCCATAAGTCCCGTATCGCCCTTTATATCTCCACGGGAAATCAATATACCAGTATTTAAACGCGGTTTTTTTTTTTTAAGTACTTAGTATGGAAATTCTGATTGAATGGCATAAAATTAAATTAAAAAAATTTTTTTTTACTCATTAAAGAATTTTCAATTTTTAAGATAGCCATTTTCTTGAGCATATTTTTTAAAACAATTTAAAAAAAAAAAATTTTAAAATTGAATAAAAATTGACCAAGTTAGAGCAAGTTAAATTTTTGAATAATTATAATAATAGTTGTTACCTAGCAAAACAGGAATTGCTAGATTTAATCAGTCTCGATTGAAACGCTAATTTTTTATGGCCATCTGTAAATATCTAATTATTAATAAAGCTTTTAAGAAATATTAAAATTAAAATTCATATAATATTTTTAAATTTGATTGTTAATAGAAAAAAAAGAAGATTTTATTACATAAAAACGAAAATAATGCATTACATTTTTTTTTATAAATGTTCGAAGTGACCTCCATTATTTGTAACTTAGGGCTGAAGTTTTTGGACCCAAGCGTTTTTAGCATTTTCTAATGTCTCAGGTAAAATATTTTGAATATTTTGTTCAATTTTGTCACGGAGATCAGGCAATGAACACGACGAAAACACAAGATTTTTCAAATAATTCCATAAAAAAAAAAAAAATCTATCGGTGTTAAGTCGGGCGACCTAGGTGGCCAAAGCACTGGATTATTTAAATGTGAAACAATTAATTTTTTTGTTATAATTATTCAAAAACATAACTTGCTCTAACTTGGTCAATTTTTATTCAATTTTAATATTTTTTTTTTTTTAACTGTTTTAAGAAATATGCTCAAGAAAATGGCTAAAAAAGTGACCTTCACAAAATGTTTCCAAAACTAAGCGTGGCACAATAATGCGATAAAGGAGTTACATTTATACATACCTAGATTTTTCCCGAGTATTGCGCCGAGCTATATACAAAATGATTGTAAGAAAATGGAAAAAGTAATAATGATATTACAAGAAACAAACAATAACAATGATAATAATATACATGTAAATTATTATCTGAATTACAACCGTCTAAAACTGTAAAATAGACGGTTACAGCCTATGGATAATTTCTTAAATTATTTTTTTCTTGAATATTATTAATATATTTTTCTATTTAAATCATTGTTTTATACGTGTAATGTTTCTACCACTTAATGTTACACCAATTCTGCAGCCAATGGATCAGAATGTTATTCAGGCACTATAAAAGGAGTCTGTTGTACAAGGTTTTGTTTAAAGATGACCGTGTGTTAAATCTTTAAAATAAATTATTTAAAAAAATGTAGTATTTTCTCTTGGGAATTTTTAGTCAAATGTAAGCAAAAAGGTGATTATTTGTTCATGGAAAAATCTGGGGCCAAATATGTGATTATTGGAACAATACAAAAAGAAGACTGTTCTCAATCTAAAAAATGATGAAGAAAATGTTGGATTAAATCAGCTACAAGTTTCGATTGCGGAAAAACTCTTGGACACGACAGACGATATAAGGAAATGGACGGCGAGGAAGAAGAAATCAACCAGTTCTTGATAGATGATGAAATAATCAAGGAAGTGATCAGTAAAAATGTAAAATTCAATAAGTACGTAAAAATGTGTTTTTTTGCGAACCTCCGTTAATTCGCCGCTCTCGTTAATCTGGCAGTAGGTCGCGTGATCTGATATGTGTCGGATTACCGAGATTGTACTTATATATTTTTTATTCTTATTGTATTCATATTTTGATAATTAATGCATTCAGACTTGTTAGTCTACGTGTTAACCAAAAAATGGAAAATTCGTCATACGCCGTATACCCGCGTACATGCTCCGCTACGCCAATGAATTATATCATATGTGCGCCTTACGGGCCTTACTAGAAAAATATTTTACGCCCTCAAACGCATCAATAACAGAAAATATTAAACTGGCATTTGGAGGTGATCAGCAAAGATGACGTTTTTCGTTGGTGCGAGATATGATAACCACCTCCATACGTTTGAATAAACAACAAGCACATGGTTGAAAAGTGATAAGCTACTGATCAAACTATAAACCGCGAGTTAATGTCGTCAGTTAATATCGTTAGTTGATGTCAGAATTTCAATTTCAACGTTAAATGCAACAATCGTTTTTGAATATTTACTGAATTATCTTTTATATAGTAAGATGACTTGGGATTACGATGCTATCATTGGGTTCAGCAATGGAATGTTGAGAGGTAATATTTATTACTTATCGTTTTGATTATTATTAGTGTTTTCTTAGAACATGTTGGTTTTGTCATCCACTAGTGGTTTTCAAACACAAATTATGAGAAACCATATTTCATTGTTTGTAAATTGTATGTGTTAATATATTCAATGTTATCACTTTTTACACAATTTGTATCTATTTACCTTATCGATTGACCATATTTTATACTATTTACATGAATTATATGGAGTGCACAATGATTCTATTACTATGAATTTTAGTAAGACCTATTTAGGTATTTCCAAAAATATAATGAATAATTAATCGTATTTAACTAATTTCCATTGGCGTAAAATAATTATATCCTCTAATAAACAAATTTTATGTTCTTGTGGTATTCGACTACGGAAAATCATATCATTATTAATAATTTTTATTACTTGTTTGAATACTCCTTGGTCTTAATATATAATACTGAGATAATTTTGGTAGGACTCAAATATGAATTTGAGCATATTTAATGATTTGATATTTGTTAATTTAGCATAAAAATAATGATATATTATTTTTATTATGTAGTGAGGTTAATTTAATTAAATAGAATCGAGAAGTTTTCTTAACATTTTATTTCTTAGCTATTATTGTTTCTTAAGTCATTGTATATTTATCAAGCTGCAGTAAAATTGTGTATAAAAATGTTGGTTATTAAGTTGATACTGATATAATGACTAAATCATATCGGTAACAAATATATTTTTCATTACTTTAATGTTAAAATTTGTGGTTATATAGTTTATGCTATAATAATGAGACTGACTTAGAAACTGTATTTTTGTATAAAATAATATTTTGATGATTATTTTGTAATTAAGTATTTCTTATTTTAACATTCATCCGTTCATATAGACCAATGTACCCTCATCATAGATAGTATAAATAAAAGATAATATAATTAAAATGTTGCTTTATACATAAGTACATTTATCTAAGTACTAAAATAAAAAACTGAAAAGTATTTAACTATAAATTAAAAAAAAATATACATAAATAATATATATATTCTAATTAGGTAATAAAAATAATCCAGCTGAAGTAACGAAAAATTAATTTATAAAATTCAACAATTTTTATAAATTTTTGTAAATTTCTTATTTCTATGTATGTATATTTATAGCTATAAATACACATTTTTATGGCCCTGTTAAAGTCAATATAAGAAATCTGCTTTATATATATATACAATTTTATTTGTAATTTTAACTAATTGTATCGGATTATTAACTCGGTCGATTACATTCTATAGCTGCATTAATATCAGTATTTTAAATTATGTTTTTAAGAACTAATTATTTAAAATAATTTTCAAAATATGTAATTAATTATTTCTGAGAAGACCTTATATTAACATGCATGTATTTTTTGTGAGAATAATTAGTTTTATTATGTACATTAATAATAAATTATTAAATATTTACCTAACAGAAGAAGACAATAAAAACTTACTTAAACTAATTCTCAATAAAAATGTTTTTAATTTTATGGTTACAGGTGTTGAACTACAAAAGAAAAAGTTTAAGTACACTAATTTATTGGATGCATCCGTAGCATTAAGTACTCTAAGTAACTTTGATGACAATAATATCATCACAAGTTCAAAAAGAAAAATTTTATTATTCAATTTGAATAATAAGAAAATTTCAAAAACATATGTTATTCAAGAATCAGGAAATATTATCGGTGTAGTTAAAAAAGACAAGTAATATATTATTTATTTACATTAAGTATTTAAATAAGAATTTTATTAATAATTTTTTTTAGTATTTTAATTGTTGGAGTGGAAAATGGAACAGTGGTGTTTAGACCAGTTAAAAACATTAGAAATGTGGTTTTAGAAAAAGTAAATGCTGGTTCAAATTTGACCTGTATCAAACAAGTACTTGCATTATCTAAATTTGCAACTGGAGGAAATGAAAATCCTTTAAAAATATGGGATTTTGAAACAGGAAAGATAGAATTTACAGCAAAAAGCGTAAGTTTTATATTTTTTATTTTAACATTTTTAATAAAATGTATTAATACGTTTTTACCCTAAATTTAAATTTTATTATCTAAACTTTTTTTCTATTCAAAATGACATATTGCATTGTTTTTTTATTTCCTTTGTCTAAAAATGTATAATATATTACAATATAATTAATTCTCATTATTTATATCAGATCTTATTCAAGTTAATAAATTGATTTTTTATTGGTAATCATTATTTTAATTTCTTTGAGATAAAGTTTTATTGTAAATACTATTGTTTTGTTTGTAGCTGAATGGTTTTAATTTATTTAGTTTTATAATTTGCAGCCAAAACCAGATATGCTTCAACTTAAACAACCTTGTAATGTATCTGATATTGGTTTTTTTAACAACAACAAAGCAGTTGTTTGTCATCGGCATGGTGTGGTAAGATATATATATGTTACCGGTAATATGAATAATCTGGTATTTTGCAAAATGTCTAGGCATTATATAAAATGCTAAAAATCACTTGGAAATATACATAATACAAGCTTTTCCTAGGTATTGTGTATAATGCCAAATGTAGAGTAGGCAATATGATGAAAATAAACAAAATTGGGCATCGCCTATTACTAACGACTTTACTTACCGTTTATCATAAATGTGCATGCGCGATTTAACGTATGAATATTAAGATTCTTTTACTACTTTAATAATAAATCTGAGGTATAGTATTGAACGTACTAATAATTTTATTACAATATTGTCATTTTTTTTCGTAATTTTCGTGTGTCTTTATGGTGTTGCAACTATGGATACAATTCATATGAAGTCAAACTTTATAATATACTACACATAAAATTTTAAAAATTTGGCCACTAATACTAGTTTTTTAATCTGATGAACAGTGTAATGAGTTGATAAAAATTGAATCCATAAGAATTGACCAAGGATTTTTAAAATGTGTTTATAAGTCCAAGTGTCAAAATAAAAGTGTATTTGCCTAAAAAATAAAATTTTGTGTACCTTAAAATGTCACTTTTCTACAAAATATTATAATTAGTAAATAGTAGTTAAGTTAAATATTTATAAAATAGTAATAATATAATAATAGATAAAAATTAAATTTTGTAATATGAATAATAATGTATAAGAATTATAAAAATTTTAATGTAATATAATATATAATACAATTTTTCATACTTTGCCTAAAAAGAAATTGGCATTTTGTATAATGCTTAGGTATTTTATAAAATACCTGAACTATCCATATTGCTGGTAATATATATATATATATATATCATTAGTTTTATTTTTAAGTTTCTTTGTCTGAGTTTTTGTAAGACATTACAAATATTTTAAACTCATTGTTTAATTTTAGGTTGAATTATTTGATCCGTTGTCCAGCCAAAGAAGACCAGTAAACAGTTCCACAGCACAAAATACTGGTTTTGTTTGTTTAAGAACATTACCAGATTACAGTGATCAGTACGTTTTCAGATTATTTAAGTTAATATGTTGAAATTATATGTTACATCTCAATAAAATACACAGACACAATAGAAAGGTTTGGCTAGGCTAGGTTCATTCTAAACTCCTGTATTTTATTTAATGAATTTTAGTAGTTTTTATGACATAATTATAATTGTCAATTGAATGTTATGATTGTTATTTTTGAAAAATATTTTACCTTTGTTAATTTTTTTAATGTTTAAATTTGTTGAATTGTAATTTAGAGCTGAAAAAACAAAAATAAAATAACTTCTAAAGTAATAATTGTTATAATTCAAATATTTTTTTATTTATTAATTTTTTAAAATTTTTTTTATGTAGAGTTTTTAAATCCCAATATAGTGATAAAAATGTATCATTTAATATTATGTTTATATATTATATACTATTAGGATTTAATTATTTTAATATTTTGGTTATTATGACCAATTTTAACCAGTACCTTGATTGTCTTATTTAATAGTATGTCCTGTATTTACGATGAAAAAAACAATTAATTTTATTCTATACAAAAATTAAATTATAACACTGAATTAAAATGATAATTTAATTAAAACTAAATATTAAATAATTACAGTAGAACCCCTCTCATTTGCCTTTGGCTAGTCCGCCACTTCTTTGATCCGACTATAGTATTATCGATATAAATATGGATTTTCCTATTTATAGTATGTAGCTAGATAAATTTATAAAATTAATAGCCCATTAACTATTTATTCATTTTTTATTTATTTTATTATTCAATTATTTATTTAATTTAATATATTTATGTAATTAAAAATAATATTTAAAATAATTTAATAAATAAATTTGATAACATTTTGTCTTCAAATGTTTCTTTATATTCTGATAATTCAACCTTTTTTGTGTTCCGACCACCCCCCCCCCCCGTCAAGAAGGTCTTGGATTAGAGAAATTTTACTGTAAATGATAAATAATTTTAATTATATAGTGTTATGACAAAATAAAAATTGTCCATATAAAATCAGATAACATACATTTATTGTATTAGATAATTTGTAGGATGTTCAAAATGTTTAAAATAAATTCAAAAATTGGAATAATGAAAGAAAAAAAATTGAATATAGTTTATATTTATGGTTATATACTATAGTTCAAGAATGCACAAAATTTAGTTTTGGAATTTGAATTTAGTCATACTTGTAGATGACTATTTGGTTTAATATTTTTATTTATTATTGCAGTGATGTAATAGTTGGATCAACCAAAGGCTCTATATATCATTATGATTTCCGAGGAAAAACAACGTTACCAGTAAAAACATTCAGAGGTAGTACGGGATCAATAAAATCTATATCCTGTATAAACTATTTAAGCCAAATGCATGTGATGAGTATAAGCTTGGACTGTCATGTTAGACTGCATAATTTTACCACTGGTGACCTCACTTTGCAGGTAAACACTAATTAAACTTTTTAAATTACAATATAAAACAACTATCTAAATTAGGTTAATGGTATATAAATAATTTATAAAATTGGAATTAATTAAGCAAATGGTTTTTTCCATAAAATACAATTACTATAAAATATTTATGCATATAACATTTATTTATTTATTCTAAATCTATCTAATGGTTAATATGTTTCTTAATTTGTTTTTCGTTACAGGATTATATTGTTGCCAAGCCGTTATCGTTAATAATGAAGCCAGAAGAAAATTAACATTAATTTGTCTGTTATTTATATTTTTATCTGGAAATAAACATTGTCTTTTTATATATTTCTAGAAATCTAATGTTTTAAAAACTTTTATTTAATTTTGAACGGTTTGAATTTAAGCATAATTGATATTATTCAAAAGCTTTAAATTTTGTAATTTATTTAGTTATGTACCATAAATTCTTTTGGTACTTATAAACGTTCATGAAAGGCATAAATTGATTATTAATCAAATAAAATACAATGATATAATTTTCAATATGTGTATAGATGTATGTTTTTTTACTTAAATGTGGAAAACATGGATTGAATAAGTGTTTTTAAATCTTTGCAAATGATTTAAAAAAAAAAAAAAAACAACAATTTGTAACTTTTCATATTAAATTGGATTTGTCCCAAAGAAAATTATTTTCAATTTAAATATTTCTGTTCACTGTAGAAGGAAATGTGCTCCATGTTAAAAACATATTACTATACACCATTTGGCTTATATTTTTTATCTGTTTGCAAGATATTTACTTATGCATTGAATTTTATTCATTGTATGTTTTTGTATCGTCAAGGAATAAGAATATTCTAATTGTATAAATTATTTTTTATTGTTAAATTTTCTTTGATTAGAAAAATTGAATTATTTAATACTATATTCTTAAAACTTCATTGAATTTCCCCATTAACTGATGAATTTAATTGGTGAACAAAGTATTTGTAAATTTTGATATTAATAATTTACCATCATCAGTATTGAATTGTCACATTATTTATCTAAGTCTAAAGTACCTGTACCATTTATATTTAATCTTGTTGTTTCAGAAATATTCTTAGATTTAACAAAACTACTATCATTGTTTTTAATATTAATCCATGAATTTAAATTCTTCAATTTATGCTATTTAATACTAAAATTAAATAAACATTTTTTAAGTTACACGAATGATGTAATGTAACAGATTTCATAAATAGTGTTAGTTTACAGGAACTAATTAAACAATGCAATCGTTAATTATATGGACACATTATGTTAATAATTGTTCATCATATACAATGAACTAAAATTTAACATTGTTTATGTTGAAAAATTATTCACATAATCAACGATTGCATCGTTTAATTAGTTCCTGTAAACTAACATTATTTATGAAATCTGTTACATTACATCGTTCGTGTAACTTAAAAATGTTTATTTAATTTTAGTATTTAGCATAAATTGAAGGATTCAAATTCGTGGATTAATATTACAAACGATGAGTGATTACATTGTGATTGATAACTAAAATTTAACATATCAATCGCAGTGTAATCACTCAATGACGAGATTCCTCGACACCTACTATACAACAGAGCGAGTTCTCTGTTTTTTTTTTTTTTAATTTGATTGTATATAATATTGTTACTTCACTTACCTTTTTTTGCTGCAGCAATATTTCCTTTATTTTTCTGCTTTTGGAAAACATTTTGGTTCTGTATCCAGACGCCAATATTTTGTTTTACTAATTTTTAAATAAATATTGTAAAAATTAAAAAATAATAATTTAAAATCATATCAATTAACAAATAATTGTGGTTTATAACGAACTTAAAAGTATAATATGCAATGTAGTGATTATTATTCAGGAAATTATTGTTTGAGATTATTATCTACATTTATTTTTAAATAAATGGTCGGTATACAGCGGATGTGTGTCGCATAATCGTATTTACGCACTTGCAGGCATATGTTAGTAAATTAAATCAGGAAAAAGTATTGCGTTACTTTTCGAGTACATAAGTATACCCCAGCTGTGACAAATTAGTGAAACTCAGGCTGGTGTGATTTTTGATCGCATTGATTGAAAAATCCTAACATTTATTAACTCTTCTAGAAAACGGTCAAGGAATTTTTTTGAAATACAAATTTTTTTAATAAATATGATTGAACAAAAATGTAGTAAAAATGGAAATTTGTATAAAATTATAACAATGCCAAAAGTTCAAATGTTAACAAAGTGCTTCTAGAGGAAATGTTCACAAATCTCATAATTCTTATAGCATTAAAATCGGATAGTCCAAAGTTTCGCATCTTGTCACTTTAGAGAGTTTAATAACTATTTTTCTTTGGCTTGTACTCAAAACTTACGCGATTGTCAGATAAGATATGATCGACTTTTTCCGTTGTAATAATAATGCTATCGAACGTGTGATCGACGGGTTTTTCTAACTGCGTGAGTCCACTGTAGTATATCGGGTATAATTTATAAATTATGTAGAATCAGTTTTTATGATTATTGTAGTTAAGTGTCATTTATTATCGAGTGTAGTGTTCTGTGCTGTATTAAAATAAATATGAGTTTAAGTAAAAAACGGAAAGTCGATACAGAGTGCCGTGTTTTTAACAAAAAGTGGAATAATGACTATTTCTTCATTGAACAAAATAATGTTGCTTTATGCGTTATTTGCAAGGAAAAGGTTGCTGTTTTGAAAGAATATAATATTGGTAGACATTATAAAAGCAAGCACGCATCTACATATAACGACCTATCTGGTAAACTACGATCGGACAAATTTGAAATCTTAAAACAGAATTTACTAGCTCAACAGTCAATTTTTATTAAACGGTCATGTCAAAATGAATCTCTCGTAAAAGCAAGTTTTCAAGTAGCCCGTACTCTGGCGATAGCCGGAAAACCGTTTACTGATGGCCAAATTGTAAAGGAGTGCATTTTGAAAACAGTTGAAGAGATTTGTCCCGATAAAATCAATTTATTCACCGGTATTAGCTTGTCAGCGAATACAATTGCGCGACGTACCACAGATCTCGGAAATTATATTATTCGTCAATTAAAAGATATTGCTAAAAGCTTTAAATATTTTTCAATTGCTTTGGATGAATCTACCGACACTTCAGACTCAGCGCAGGTGCTTTTATTCGTTCGCGAAGTCAATGAATCTTTTGAAATAACCGAAGAATTGGCCGCCGTCCACTCAATAAAAGACTCATGTACTGGTAATGAAATTTTTTTGAAGGTAAAAGAATCTATTTTTACTTTGGGTCTTGAATTTAGCATTTTAAAAGGCGTAACTACTGATGGTGAACGCAACATGTGTGGAGCATATACAGGTTTGGTTGGAAATATTTGTAAAGCTGTATTGGAGACTATTAAAAGACAAGCAATTCCAAACGTCTCACTAAATAACTTACTCTTATCATAATAAAACGAAATTTTGAATTATAAAATAAAAAAATTATATAAATAAACATACATTTTTTAAATAAATCTTATTTATTATTATTTATTGCTCAATTTTATAACCTATCTATTTTTCTAAAAATGTTGGCCCGCGATGCCAAAGCGTATATCAAATTTGGCCCGCGGTAAAAAAAAATTGGAGACCCCTGACCTACATTATTATGTCTGGTTCCGACAGTAGTGTAGAAAGTGAAAAAAAGAGAAAAAAAAGGTGTTTCTAATTTTGAATCTTACAAAGCAAACATTATAAAAAAGCAAAAATTATAGGCTTACCACACACAAATCATGTTGGTAAAGAATTGACTTGAAAGACGGTCTGGTTTACCATGCAAAAAGTCAAAATCGAAGAAATTATTGATTACAAAAAGTGGTGGCCAGATTTTTATAAGAAAAATGTGCTTTCAATAACAAGTCATGGAAAAAAAGTATCAAAAGCACAAAAAGTCACAATTAAAATCACCGATTATTTTCATTTCATTTATGATTCGTCTGAACCAGGTATTTTACTTGTTCATCCCTACATCGATAACTTTATAAGCGAACATTTTTCACTTGCAAAACCTCGACAGTTTCGTCCAGATTTGCCGAACATCATAGATTTTAAAGCATACGACCAAAAGTTACCAATAAATTACAAGAAAATGGATAATATAAAAAGTCTCCTATGTCATATACCTGCTGATAAAATGTCATTCTATGATGAAGTAATGCATTGGCCCATTACTGAAGCATAAGAGCATCACGAAGAAGATTATTAAAATTTTAAGTTTGTTCATATTATAATAAAACAATATATTATTATTATTATTATTTTTTTTTGATACCTTATTTGATTAATAAAGTACTGTATTATAATTTGTCAATATATTATAACTATAACTATCACTTATGATTATATTTTGTTTTTTGTTTTCAAGAATTATCTTAATATTAAATAAATAAAAAAAAAATTTAATAACAAACAAAATATCAAAAATCAAATTATTTATTTGGAAAAGGTAACATGTCAACTTTTTTTTTTTTTATCATTTTATGGATTTTGAAAAAAATTTGGTTCTAATGTAGGTAAATGAGATGCTACATTTGGAATATTAATATAAATTTTGAAGCCTCGAAAAATCGATCATTGTTGAGAAAATTAATTTTTTGTCTTTCCTGTAAAATTAGAATTTCTGGACATATTCCCTTTTCCAAATAACCGATTCAATTACAATCTAAAATTTACTTATTGATAAACTTCATTCGTCTTACTCGTTTCAAAAATTAATTTTCAACCTTATCAATAAGCTCCTGGATTATGTTTTTTTTTTCTTCGTTTAGGTGTTATTTTTCAGTTGAAATGTATGTGATAAATGAACTTAATCTTACTTGTCCTTGTATAAATATTTGATTTGGGCGCCGGTACCGGATCATTTATCAAGGAGTACAGTTTAGGCAATTCAATTCACACGTCATATCGGCCTCCCGTGCACGTGCGCGAGTATGTAAATCGATATTGGCGCGAGTGAGCTATAATCAGTGTGAGATATTGGCGGTGCATTTGGGGGATACGTAAACAGCGCCCGAATTTTTTTCTCGATGTTGAAAAGGTGTAATGTAAACTGCGCCCAATTTTTCATTCACGTTAAAAAGGTATAACTTCAGCCGTGTCCCGTTTGTAAAATATACGAAACTTTTAACTAAGTCACTATGGTCGTGTTTTTTTTCGATTGCATCACAGCAATTTTATTTTTGTCCGAAACCATGGAATTCGTAAATGCCCGTCAGTTCAAACAAGAAAAAAATTAAAATATTCTCGTAGGTACCGCTATGAAAAGTAAAAATTATCACTCAACGTAATTTCAAGCCGAGAATACTAGGGGCCTTTTACATATGTGGGCTCCGGGGACGTGCTCACCCCCTTTAATGTGGCATTGACTGCGCAGTACCACAAAACGAGCGCGTTTGCATCAAAACGAACAACCGCGAAAGATATCGAACCATTGTACACAACGATCCGATTGCAAAAGGTCGTCGTACGTCCATTCTAAGCTGAAATTGACGGTTTGTCATTTTTTTTTTTTTTTCATAATCATAATTCTTTCGTACAAATTCAATTATTATTCAATTTTAATTCGCAGTAGGTACACACAGTGCCAGATTACCCACTAGGCGGAGTAGGCGCCCGTCGTAGGGCCTCACTCATTTAAGGGGCCCTATGAAAACGGAAAACTATATTTTTTTTTATGTAATAATACCTGTATTTTATTTATAAATTTACGGAACAAAATTCATCATGAAATATATTATATATCAAGTTGTAGATGTTATATACAGTAATAATAATAAAATTGATTTGAAAAGAATAGAAATAATATAATAATTAGTTAATTTTTCTTGCAAATAAAAAAAAATTAATAAACATGATTTTATTTATTAATAATAGTTGGTTATTATTAAAGCTGTTTATTTAAACTATTGGATAGTAATGTTAAAGATGTAAGTAAAAAATAATTTTGTGGGGCCCAACATTTTAATCGTCTGGGGGCCCACAAATGTTTAATTCGTCACTGGATATACATGATACATTCTATTCAAATTTTAATTCAATTATTGAACGTAATTGCAACACTTCAGTTGTACGTCCGAAAAGTAGTGCGGCTGCGAAAATCCCATGTACGTTGACCGCACAAGGCTGTTACCGCGATTCGTACGATTCGACGGGAGCTGAGCGTCATAGATCAAAAGTAGAACAATCATTTACTCGTGATATAAAGTTAAGTGTACACATTAAATTATTCAAATATATTCAAAAACAAGTTATACAATACAATATAGGTACATACACAATATACAGCGAATACAAAATACATCCGTAAGTTTTCGTACCACTCGGGTACACAAAAGAATAATAATAAAAAAAAAAAACTCCATTATATATACATGTAGGTACTGCGTATTCACGTGCTCACCCCGTCATGAGATTTATAGTAGATGCGTATTGTGTGGCAGACGTTACATCCTGCCCGAATGACAATATAGCAACATAAACACGGGTTTTGTTTTTATTAATTTTTTTTTTTTTCGAAACTCGTTTAAAAATATTTTTTGAATTCTTGTATCAGGCCAATACGGTTTTGCGAGAGACGTTTCATCCCTGATCATTGTTAGCGTCTACCTATGTCGAGCCGCCCGGAACGAGCGTGAAAATGTTTAGTCTTATATGATCCGCGTACGTCCGGGGGCGGAACCAGATGTAGACGACCGAAGGGTAGGGAACAGCTTTTGAAATTCGTAGGACATAACACATTAATACTTTAACAATAATAATTAAAACGGCATATTATGCATTACCCGTTCCGTATCAAGGTTTAAAGCATATTTAAATTGATATTATTAACCGTATTATGTATGTTTAAGGAGTTTACAGTGCGTTTTATACCGTTTCATCTTAAAGCCTCGAAATGTGATGGGATTTTTTTTTTTACGAAAAGGGTTAGGGGATGATGGAGTCGCTCCACCACTTGGATCCAAAATTGCACATGTTCAACGTCATACATACATACGCACATTAAAATAAAATATTTATCCATCGGAATCGATTGCACTCGCCGCGGTTATTATAATATTACTGTTGCGCTGCAGTAATCGTCGCGGAAGATCCATAATCACATTAGTTGACATCTATCGAGGTTGTCACGCTTTGGTGGAATTGTAATGCACCATGATAATCTTGTGACTTTTATTTTCCAAGCGAAAGAATGCGCAAAAAACGACCGTGGAAATGGGTTTAGCCTAAATATGCGTAATAAAATGATGATGTAAACATTTTTTTTTCCGAGTAAAATTTTATTTTATTCAAACATTGCTCGGTTAAACTCATCGTTCGATTAACGGTGAATGTTTCGCAGCGTTACGTTAAAAAGATTATGACGAATTTGCGATAACTCTTCGCGATAACCATGAGGTCGAGTGTCACACATATGATCGTTTCAACCTGGGACTAATACTGCGATGAAATTAAACAAGATGATGTATTTCACGTGTTTATTATTCGTGACTTGTGTACGCAATCGAGTTGTGAACGGGAATCGTTTTGTATTTATTCGTTGGACAAATCGTTTGTGACGTATTTTTAACGAACACATGGTCGACGTTCGTTCTTATCGGTACGCGTATGATGTGTGGTGTTCGTTTGGGAAAACGTATAAACGTTACGTTAATATCGTCGCACAAGCGTGAAGGGTCGTTTAGGAAATCGAAGTTTAAATCCGCGTGTGCACCGATCGATGACGGATGCTCGTGGCGGGTTTTTAGGGCACGGTAGACACGCGTACATCACTGCCTCGCGGACCGTCTACGATCAGTTAGGATTTGCGAGTGGAGAGAAAAATTTTAATCGTACGCGAAACAACTTCGAAACTATGTTAGCCGAACGTTAATAGCGGATACCGATGAACTTATTGCGTCATGACCGCGCATTGGGTGGAAACATCGAGCCTGAAAATATCGTGTGATAGGCAACCGCCGTGTACACATCCGATGTCGTAATGGACGTTTAGTTGCCTATCGCACGGTTTTCATCCCGACCCGGTTTCTCTATCGCGTACCGTAAACGAAATTCGTTCGGAAATTCGATAGATTGGCATCGACATGTACAACCGTTGTCCAAACGCTGTTGCGGTCGAACGGGCTTCGAACCGTGTTCACGATGTACGTCATGGTTATGGGCGCAATTAGGGATGGGGGCAAGAGAGTTTTTAGCAACCCTCAGTTCAAATTTAGTTTTTTTTTTCAAATCCAGTTTTTTTATTCAGATTTATATAATCTATAGTAATTACTGTTAAATACTGTTTAATTTTATTTTCAGCAATTCCAGCACCCCCAATATTTGGACTCTAGTTGCGCCCATGCGTCATAGTACTCGAAGCACGCGTGCGCGAAAAATTAAAATAAACTCGGAACTGGGCTCCCGAATCGTTTCCGGTTCTGCCGGAAATCGGAGTGCACCTTTGGATTGCAGATCATGATAATATGTACGGGTTAACGTACTGCGTTGTATAAGTTCGATTAAAAAAAAAAATAATAATAAACGCTTGACGTTCTCTTAAACCGATTAACTCGTGTAAACATCTAAGAATTTTTTTAACATTTGTTCTGCAAATGTTTTACGTTCTACTGTTGTTAAGTTTGCAAACACCGACGAAGCCCCGCACCAATGCTTTACACTAGGGCCTATTTGATTATAAGTGATTGTTTTTTTTTCTCTTTTTTTATTTTTATTTTTTTTTTCTTAAACGTTACCACGCAAAAATTATATTCGTTTGATATGGAAATGTTAAAAAATATTTTTTCCTATTAGATCCGCCACTGCGAATCACACACGCATACTATACATATATATATATACTGAACATAAGTAAAACAATATTAAAACAATATTATAACATATAGGGAACAGGGGTGGTTTTCGTTCTATAAAAATTACAAAAGCCTTTTTCAAATATTTTCAAATACTTATATAATTATTACTAATATACAACTATTATGAATGTGACGCGGCCGAAGTCTGTGGTGTAGGATGAAGCAGTTGGTGATGGTGATTGTGATAGAGATGACTGAGATTATGGTTGTTGATATTACTGTTGTTGTTGTTGTTGCTGTAATGGTGTTGATGGGGATGATGGTGGTTGTGGTGATGGAGGTGGTGAGGAGGATAATCGGACGGGTACATTTCCGCGTCGGACGCCGAGTATCCGGCCACAACGGTGGCCGTGGCGGATTTCAGCACCGCAGCCGCCGCAGCCGCAGAACTCATTTTGCCACCGCTGGCAGACGTGGTCACACTTTGATAACACATTGACTTAACGTTGTGCATGTCAGCCATTTCATAGTTCCTGCTGTCTGAACTCCCAATACTCAGCAGGTCACTGTTAAAAAAAAAAACTAATTAACAAATAATTTATGTCTCATAATATCCATCGTTAAATGTTAAAACATCCATCGAGAGACGGAGCAAAATACGCGAAGCAATCGGATTACGTTGAAGAGTTTGATTATTTGATATGCAATATTATAAACCATTTAAATAAACCTTTTTTACATCAACAAAATGATTAATTTTGCAGACAGAAGAAAATACATAAACGCAGTCCCTATTTGACCTATTTGGCCGACCACGTTGTACAAATAAATTTGCTGCTCCCCTACCCACTTAAAAATTTCTTATCCGAGCACCATCCAGAGTTTTGTTAAACTTCAAAAATATTATTATAATTATTTTTAGTTATTGTTTAATACATGTTTTACATTATGTTTACAATAAATTATTATTATGATAATTTTTTCTGAGATTTGATTTATGAAGTCGCCCTTGTTTTTTTAATTCCTTGCACAACTGGTTAGCGCGGCCCTGTATTAACACATTATTTATCATTTATAGTGTTATTGGTATGTGATACACTTCCACACTTATTTTTTAAGAACTTGGTGAGTGTTTATTATTATTTTTGTTATGTTTTTTCGGTTATTGTATATGAAATATGATGTACTATTTGTTATTATCAAAATTAAATGACAACCAAAATAAATGGTTCAAGTGAAAAATTTTCTGCAAGGCTGAGCAAGTTAATGATTTTTTTAACTCAGTTAAGTCAAGTTAATTGTGTTTATGTTTAATTAAATTAACAATTAAGGTAATTTACATGAGAATTAAATCAATTAAATTAAAAATTAAGTTAAAAAATACCGTTAACTTAACTTCAATTAATATGTAAAGTTAATTACAAAAAAAAAAAAAAAATATTTACAATAAGTGCTGATATAAGTGATATATATTAAAAATTACAACAGATCTTAATTAACATTAATGATAATGAAAATTAAAATGCATAAAAATCTTATTTAAGAATATTTTTTATAATATTTTTCAACCCTAATTAGAGTAGAAAATATACATTTCTTCATTGAGATTGTTTTTAAGCGCTCATATTTCAGATTTACGGTAATTAATGTATGGTTTTTTTTTTATTACTTTTTCATTCAAATCACATATGATAAATATAAATTAAAAAAAAGTAACTATTATTTTTAATTTTCAATAACAGTATAAAAATTAAAAATAATTACTGCAGCTGAAAATGTAACTATAAAATTATACAGACAATAAATGTATACAGTAGATACAAAATATTATAATAAATATATAATATTATTTAACTTTATTAAAATCAAAACAAATAAAACAGTACCATGCTGCCCATGGTTAATAAAAATACCTATTGAATATCAATAAAAGAATATGTATCTATATAAAAGTCATCTCAAAATGTTGATCAACTATTGAATTTCTTCTCTTATTCAATAATATTTAATAATATCATTGATTAAGGAATAATTTTAATAATAATTATATTCAATAATCAATGATAATATATACCGATTTAAGTAATATAAATTTACGCCACTTTTCCTGATAATGGTAATGTAATTTATGGTCGGCATGCCTATTTTTACTCAATAGTCTTAAAACGGTGAATTACTTTTCTCGAGATCGGCCGGTGGGATTTCTAGTGAATATCGTTTATTATTAGTGAATACCGTGATATAAATTATATTCTTATCTAAAAATTCATCGAAACTTTTATTTTTTAATTTAAAACTTAATATTAAATAATAATCTAAATTTCATGAACTTGTTATCAAATGCATTATTTTACAAAAATATTTTTCTGGTCTTGAAAATCGAAATTTTCTTAATTGGGATAAATGAAAAAATAATACGTTAATTTCAAGTTAAACTGTAAGGAAATTAGTTAAGTTAATTTACCAGCAATGAAATAAGTTAAATTAACTTAACTTTTAACTTATTCACTCGCACAGGCTTGGTTTTCTGTATGAAATATAACCCATCGAATAAATTATTATCCGTAATTTTACGGTCTAGAATAAGGGTTCTCAACCTTTTGAGGTAAATGTTCCATTTCATACTATTTTATACTGTTACAACCAAGGGGGGGCACCATAATAATATTTAATTATGTTTCATATATGTATCTTTCTTTTCTTTTTATATTCAACCCTATGATTGATTTCGCAGTCGGTCACGAGCTCTCCACTCTTTCCTATTTCTAGCTAACCTCTTTAGTTCCAGGTAGATTGACAGTCCTGCATTGGGGATCATTTTATCGATGAACTAAGTTCTCGGACGTCCATGGTCTCTCTTACTTTCAATTTCCTTTTTATTATTCTACGAACTAGTTCGCTTTTGTGCCTTAACATGTTAACAATCATGTTCCATCGCTTTTGATGGTTTAGCGTTAATTATCTGCGTTCATTTATTTAATCATATTATTCATGTCTTCATTCTTGGTTATTAGATAAATATGATAAAATGAAAATCAATGAAGTTGTTTTGAATACTTAATGAATTTATTTGTTTGGCAAAAAATATTACTATAGTTTAAAATTATTAAAATAAATTATATTAAATTTACTTTCTTAAATATTAAATTTTAAATTAATTATTATTAAGCAGATACAAACTACTGAGAGGGTTTGCTGCTTATTTCCAATTAATTGTGACTTAATAATGTCTTGATTAAATATAAAGTATCAAAAATAACGTTTTCATGTTTCGTTGATTTTTAAAAAAATGCACAGCTCCCTTGAGGGAGGGCGCGCACCACAGGTTGAGAAACGCTTTTCTAGAATATTCAATATTACATTGAAATTATTTTAAAAACACAATTCCTTTATGTACGTGAAAGTTTAATTTACAATTTAAAATAAAATAATATAAATAACGTTATGTTGTATTTCATAAGATGGACAATTTTATCCAACTTTATGTGATTAATCGCTAGTGCTATTCAATTCAATTCAATTGAACTTGATTTAATAAATAATATAATAAATACATTATTTATCTACGTTTCCGAATAATAATTTTTAGTTAATTAGGACTTTTTTGATTAAATTATTATTAAACGAGCTTTTGCTTATCAAACCGACGATGCTTATTTATTATTATATTGAACAGGGGTGGACAGTAGAAAGTTGATAGAGAGGGGAATTTTTCAAAATGATGAACTTCGAAAGCTATAGCACAATTTACATAAGTAATTAAAAACATAATTTGCGCACGAGTAGTAATTATTATATATTAATTTTTCAAAGATGATAACTTATAAAATGAGTTGGAAAAAAAAGAAGATTGAAAGGGCCAACATTTTTCCGGGGCCAATCCTATCAATGACCTATTTTAAATTAAAGTATTGTACTTGTGTGCAATTTTTTGTGATTAACCATTTAAGACTACTAAAAATATAACATAAATAACGATGATCCATTCCTATGTGGCCAAGTACGAATATGCAGTTTAACTGTAATCGTTTTTTGAACCCAACTCTAGTACTTAAAATCTAGTTTTACTAAGAGTTAGCTCGGTTATTAGCGTAATAAAAAATTTGAAAAAAAAACACTCAATCATTAATAGTAAATAATGATTAATCATTAATGGATATGTGTACTCTGTTGGTATCCCAAAGAAAATACATACTGCGAGTATAGCCCATATAATATTTTTATTATATATTTTTTTTATTTTTATTTATTTAAATTCTTGTCTCTTACTAAAAGTAATAGAAAATATTAATTTTTTAAACAATGATCTTCTCGACCAACGACGGTTATAACGTTTATGATTTACGTGTGCATTGTGTTTGCAATGTTTCGAATATTCCGTTCAAATATTTGCAGTCGAAGATACTTATTTTACTTAATTGAATCCTGTTAAGAATTATAAAATGCATTTTTAAATGTGTATATTCTCATATCATAACCAACACGTTCCGACAACATACACTCACTATGGTTTTCAAACTATTTACTCATGCGCCAAATGAAAATATCTTGACGAACACACAGCAAAATATTTTGGAAATGTATACAAAAAAAGTGTTATCAACACTTCTTTCGGGCAAGCAAAATTTTTTTAAAAATCTTTTTTTTTTTTTTTTTTGAGTACAATAATGGTCACTGCGGTTACTTAAAAATACTGTGAAATATTACGAGTAAAATGTACTCAATAATGAATAATTGTTTATTTCTGGGTTGCAGCGAAACAAGGAGCACGTGACGAATGTTCAGCACCCTGCAGTTTCTTCCTGACACATCTTTTTAACTTTACGTGTACATGCGTTTGGATAGAGACAAATTGAAAAACCGGTATTTTTACATTTTCGGGATTAAAACGATAACGGGACCGCTGCGTGGAGCGTTTTATAAAAGACATCGTTATACTTGTATTCGTGTTGTGGTGAATCGCAGCAAACGACAATTCTATAACCGTCGTATAAAATATTAGTATATACGTACAATATGTGCGTCGGAACATTTTTATATTATTAATCGAAAACCATTTACATTATTATTTTTTTTTTTTTATATACATTACGTTGAACACACTTACAAGTATTTGTTCCCTACTTAAGTGATTATTATACTTAATATTACTCAAGTGCCTACGAATATGAAATACTGAAACTAATTCGTTTTAAAATATTACTTTAAACGTACGAGCATACAGTACCTATATAAGGTTGTATAATTAGTAATACCAGCCGAGTTATTAAATATTCGGTATATACTAATTAAATGCTAAATTTTGTACTATACAAATATAATGGTTTACAGTTATCTATTTTTTCCATACGCCAATTTGTATAAATAATTTTTTAAAAAATGAAAAATATTTGCATACTCCTATTATACTCAATAGCCATAATGGTTGATCGAAAAAATCATTTACAGGAATTGAGTTTTTTAAGTCAGTAAAACATGAAATATATTTCTCTCGCCCCTTCGGACTACACAGCAACCTTGTATCATAACTTGAACGTTATATTCGAAGGGCAGAAAATCATAAAAA